CCCCACCCCCCCCCTTGTTTGTTTTTTTTTTTTTTAGCTTCTTACCCATTTAGTAATCCTGATAACTCACTTGCTTTAAGAGAATGGCTCTAAAACTGGAGTGGAGGTAAGCAAGAGTTTTATCATATTTAAGTTCCCTCTCGAGGTCACTAACTTCATACCAGAATTTTGACTTAGAGAAAATGTGGCTGACTTCTGCCTCTGCCCTGTCTTCAAGACTCTCTCAGCCAGCTCTGGCAGGAGGACTCACAACATTCCAGCTACAAGTTGGCAGCAGTGTTCCCTCTGAGTCTCCAGGTGGGGGACAGAGTGCTTCAGGAAGTGGAAGGCATTTCAGGAAGGCCTTGTGCTGCACAAAATGCCGTCCACTGGGAAGCATAGGCTGGTGGCCATGCAGAGGGGCTGTAAGAGCACGGAGCACCGCGCCAAGTCCGCCTTTTCATAGCGCACAGTGCTGCGCCATAACACCGGTGTGTCTGAGGAAGCGCACTCCCCTCCCCAGCCCAGGGCTGTCACATTTCCTTTTTTCAATGTTGTTTTTCTTGTCACCATAATCACTGAACTCAAAGCCGCCCTTTGCAGTTCCAGAATCCTGCTACCTTTTCATGTATTATGGAACATACATGAACCCAGAGCTATGCAAATGGTGGTTCTAACTGAGCTCCTGCCTGACTCTGGGTTTTGCACAAGCTGTTTCCTTTGCCTTGGGATGCTCCTAATTTGTTAGCACTGACCATTTCCTAAGATCTGCCTCAATGTCACCTAACTAAAGTAGGCCTGCCTATTATTTTCTATTATAATAGGACATTCTATTATAATAGAATCTGGTTTGTATTCTTTATGGTATTATCTTTACCTAGAGCACTACATACTATGCTTTTCTAAATACCGTGTACCACTCCCCAAATAAAGTATCAATCTACTTCCTAAGGGTAAAGATTTTTGTTTTGGCCATTCTTTGGCCAGTTGGACTACCAGTGCCTGGAAACAATGGCTGACAGTGTTGGCATGCCGTTAGTACTTGTTGAATGCATAATTGAAGAACAGCTTGGCAAATTTTTCCCACCTGGGTGATGAATACTTGCTGGGAATTGATGGCCAAGGCCATCTGCCGAGCAGTGGGCTCTGCTGTAGTGAAGGGGGCGGCTCGTAATGAATGCTAGAGGAGCATGCATGGCTGTCTGTCCCAGACTTGGTCCATGGGCAGGGGAGGAAGTATAGAAATACAGAGAGCGATAGAAATGAGTTTTTATTTGTAAAAAGTTACAAAATGATATTGTACAAAAATAAAGTCTGTAGAGAACTTTGGTTGTATAACACAAACGACCGAGACAGATCAGAGAAGTCAGAACTTCCAAAGAAGTGCACTCCTTACTGTATCAGATGGTATTTGCAATGATAAAGAAAAATCACAAACTTTACCCTTTTGTGGACATGGTGGAGCGATGTGCTTCCATTAAAACCTGCTATAGTGCAGAGGGGATGCCGGGAACGACGTCAACACCCACTGAATCCTACGGTCCCTTTGGGCAGGGATACTCCACGGGGAGCTGGAGTTGGACTAACTGAGTTGGGAACATCAGCCACCAGATCTGCCAGGATTCTCTGAATTGAGCAGATGATCCTGGGGCTACCTCCGGATTGTGCTTCATGAATGACCAGTCAGCTGGGCTTGTTCCTGTTCTAAGCAGGCTGTTTCCCAGCAAGGCCCCAGGAGAGACTGAACAGGAAGTCCTTTTCCTCTATTTCCTAGTCCTGGCCTCTCTCAGAAAGAACAGAGTGGGACAGAATGGAAGACTTGGGTCTTTTGGGGATGGGGAAAATGTCTGGTAACTGTTGCTTCTTGGTTACTTTGTAAAATAACATGATTATCTGGGGGAGGCCAGTAGGTCCTTTAATTACAAAATCCATCATGCTTTTCTGGCTAATGGTCACTAGGTAGTGATTGATTATCTCGTTGATAAAAATACCCTTTATGAAATGTGTACCAAGCTCTAATTTAGGGCCCAGTGCCTCACGCATGAGTCAGCTGCCAGAGAAATTCACAATCCAGGTTGCCAGGAGGTGGTTGCTTCCTCTATTGCCTCCTGTCTCATGGTGAAGGTAGCATGCTCTGAGAGTCTGAGACCTTGGGCATGTGTACCATGGCCAGGCTAGACCAGCTTCCCCAGCCACCTTCTTCCCAGGAAGCCATCAGGTGTCCAGGGGCAGCAGATGCTGACCTCAGGCAATAACCAAGGGGTTCGTGCGATGCCAGGTGGACCCAAATTCTGGAAGGCTGTCCAGGTGCTGCCGGGCTGTACTGGGCAGCTGGAACTGGGTGGAGGAAGTGTCCACAAGGCAAAACCATGGCTACCTGACAGAATTGCTTGCTATACTTTTAGGTCAACTTGCCATCCAGAATTATCTGCCAAAAGGGATTTGACCCTTTACACTCATGGTTATGCATATAGGTAGTGATATGTGGAGGGGAATAAGCTTAATTACCACAGGAAGTGGAGCCTGTGGCCCGTGTGTTCAGTGATGGAGCAATGAAGAAATGAGGCCAAGTGCCCTTGGTCTCTACATGCCGCTCCCAGAATGGAGGACTGCCAGAGACATGTCTTCTGTCATATTCTTTTAAAAAACAAAAGTAGAGAAAAATGCTGAAATCTGGAGAAATTCATGAGGGATTGCTTAAAAAGGTAAAGTAAGTGATTTTTGCCTAGTGAAAAACTTTTTAATACTTTGAAAAGCATGGACCCTTGTTCCTAATTGAAATTTCCTTTTGTCACCTTTCTTTGCATTTTGCGAGCACATATACTTTGGCACCTTTGTAAAGAAACTTTAATAAATAAGGGAAAAAAGAGAAATTCATTAGTGAACGGTAATAAATAACAATAACTTAAATCTCAATAAATATCTTCTCTATATTTCTGTATCTGAAACAGATGCATTGCATCGAGTAGCTTCTCTGGTCACTGGTGACCACGCATAAACGGAGCTGGGTATGTAACATCTGTCTCTCTGTAAACCGACAGGCCCGAGGCAGGTCTCCCTGCCCCAGGGCAGCTGGGGCTTTCCCCACTCGCTGTCCTACAAAAATGCTGCCGAAAACCACAACTCATTTCCTGTTTCCAAGGGTATAAAGGAAATACCTTCAGGTTTGTTTTGAATCATGAGGACAGCCTTTTTGGTTCCGAGCCAATTTCTCCCCACCCCATATACCATGCTCGAAATCAATCACCAACCGTTCACAAAACACGCTGGTTGTAGTAAACCTCAGGCCTCAGATTTCAACTTCAAAGATTATTATCTTTGTGTCCTTGCCTTTTTTTTTTTTCCCTCCTCTCTTTTCTGGGGTATGGCTCCACTGAGTGACAGAATAATAAACCTTCCTTACTTTCAGCAGTAAAACGTAATGACAAGGAGTGACACCAGGATTACTGTTTCCCTGGTATCTTCAGACATGTGAAAACAAACCACAGGACAGACACTGGTTTGGTTCTTCGAGTGCATCCGCAACTGTGCCCGTGATCGGTGCCGGTGGACTGTATCAGACAAAACCATGGCCACAGTCAAACAGGGACACCGGCCCTGAGTTGCTGATGACATCGGCTGCCGTGCTGGAGAAAGCAGATGGCTGTTTTCTCTCTCTCCTGTCCAGTTTTCTGTAGCTGGATCTTCCTCTACCAGGCTCCCACGACGGCTGCCTTCCTCCTCTTCCTCCTCCTCCTCCTCAGCCTCCACCTCCGCCTCCTTGGTCCTCATCTTCCATTCTGAGCAAACATTTCCTGGGAACCTTGGTCCCTTTCTTTGCACTGTAGCAGGAAT